CGTGCGTGCGTGCGTGCGTGCGTGTGCGTGCGTGTGCGTGCGTGCGCGTGCGTGTGTGTGTGTGTGTGTGCGTGTGTGAAAGCACTGTCTTTGTGCCTGGCGCGAGTGCGCCCCGGGGGGGGGGGTCCAGGGCATCTCCTCCCGGCGAGCCCGGCGGGCTTCTGCAGGGTCCCCCCCTCGCGGGGCCCCTGGAGGGGGGGGGGAGCCCGCCTTGGCGCGAGGGGCAAGAGGGGGGCACCCCGAGCCACCCGCTCTCCCCCGAGCGGCTCCCGAGGCGCGCCGCCTGGCTCGCGCGCCGTGGGCCCCCCCCCTCGCCGCGGGAGGGGGCCTGTGTCGGAGAGGGTTCCCGAGGGTTCTCGCGGCCCTCCCAGGGCCTACGGGGCTCTCCCCCCGGGGGCCACGCTCATCGAGCACAGGAGAACCCTTTAACCTTGGCGGCGCGAGGAGGGCGTGGCCTCGCTGGAGTTCCCGTCTTCGCATCACGGAGAGGATCTGTTTGGGCGGTGTGGTTCGAGACATCTGCAGAAACGAGCCCCTATCCCTAATGTTTCTGGCCCTCCTAAATTAGGTCCCCTCCCAAAGGGTCAGGGGTCCTGCTTTTGTGGGTCAGACGGGCGCCAAGCAAGAACGCCCCGGGATGAGGAGTTGGCCCCAGGGAGCGCCCGGGGGTCCTCGACCCATAGATTCATCAAGACCTGGACCTGGACCCCTTCCGCTCGTTCCTCAAGGGGGGACGAGGGGGGAGGAGCTGGGCAGTGCCATGGAGGCCCGGGGCGTCGCCACTTGCCCCGAGCCTCGGGGGGCGAGGAAGACCGAAGATTCGACGATCCAGGAGCATCGAAGAGTCGAAGGTCCAGGCGCATCGCAGACTCGAAGATCTATCGTGTTTTCGCTCCCGCTCGCAGCGTCGTGGCCGCCTCTGGTGCGGGGGGGGGGTCTGGGGCCCAGCGGGTCCTCCGCGGGGGGGCGTCGGCCCCCGCGGTGGGGGTCCAGCGCCAGACCGAGGAGTCCGCGCGGAGCTCCGATCACCTGGTGCGCGGTTGCCGCCGGTCTCCCCCATCCGCGCTCCCTGCTTTCACGGCGCTGTGTGCTGTTGGCTCCAGGGTTGGTCACGACACAGCGCCCCCTCCCGGGGCCGTTGCCCCTGAGGGGGGGGGGTCAACGCCGGTCTCCCGCATCCGCGCTCCCTGCTTTCGCGGCGCTGTGTGCTGTTGGCTCCAGGGTTGGTCACGACGCAGCCCCCCCCCCCCCAGGGCCGTTGCCCCTGAGGGGGGGGGGTCAAACTAGGACGCACGCAGAGCATACAGGGGGCAAGCAGTCCCTCCCTCCGCGCCCGCGCCCTCCTCCCCTCTCGCCTGTCGTTCTCTCGCTCGTGGAGGCTGGGCGTCGTGCTTTCGTTCTCTTCTCTCCCAAACGTCCTGTGGTGTTGGATCCTCGTTTTGAACAGACGGTCCCCGCGTTCTCCTCCCTCCTTCCTTCCTCCATTCCTCCTCCCCCTCCTACCTCTCATCAGCAGCATCATCACCATCGTCATCATCACCATCATCGCCATCATCGCCATCATCACCATCATCGACACCCATGTTGGCACACACGTCACACGTTTCGTGGCACCATAGGGAGCTCCACCGAAGGCCCCAGTGCCACCGTCCACATGCGTCCCCCACACCCATTTCGGCACACCCCTCACACGTTTCGTGGCCCCATAGGGAGCTCCACCGAAGGCCTCAGTACCACCGCCCGCATGCGCCCCCCACACCCAGTTCGGTACACCCCTCACACGTTTCGTGGCCCCATGGGGAGCTCCACCGAAGGCCCCAGTGCCACCGCCAACATGCGTCTTCAACACCCATTTCGGCACACCTCTTACACGTTTCGTGGCCCCATAAGGAGCTCCATTGCAGGCCCCAGTGCCACCATCCATATCCGTCCCCCGCACCCATGTCGACACCCCCTCCGTCACACCGTCACACGCTCCGTGGCCCCATAGGGAGCTCCACCGTAGGCCCCAGTGCCACCGTCCACATGCGTCCCCCACACCCACTTCGGCACACCCCTCACACGTTTCGTGGCCCCATAGGGAGCTCTCCACCGAATGCCCCAGTGCCACCGTTCACTTGCGTCCCCCGCACCAAATCCGGCACACACCTCACACGTTTCGTGGCCTCATAGGGAGCTCCACCAGTGCTACCGTCCACATCCGTCCCCCGCCCCCGCACCCATTTTGGCACACCCCTCACACGCTTCGTGGCACCATAGGGAGCTCCACCGAAGACCCCAGTGCCATCGTCCACATGCGTCTCCGCACCCATTTCGGCACACCCCTCACACGTTTCGTTGCCACATAGGGAGCTCTCCTCCGAATGCCCCAGTGCCACCGTTCACTTGCGTCCCCCCCACCAAATACGGCACACCCCTCACACGTTTCGTGGCCCCGTAGGGAGCTCCACTGCAGGCCCCAGTGCCACCGTCCATATCTGTTCCCCGAACCCATGTCGACACCCCCGTCACACGTTTCGTGGCCCCATGGGGAGCTGCACCGAAGGCCCCAGTGCCACCGTCCACATGCGTCCCCCGCACCCATTTCGGCACGCCCCTCACACGCTTCGTGGCCGCATAGGGAGCTCCACCGAAGGCCTCAGTACCACCGCCCGCATGCGCCCCCCACACCCACTTCGGTACACCCCTCACACGTTTCGTGGCCCCACAGGGAGCTCCACCGAAGGCCCCAGTGCCACCGTCCACACTCGTTCCCAACACCCACTTGGGCCCCCCCCCTTACACGTCTTGTGACCCCAGAAGGAGCTCCACTGCAGGCTCCAATGCCACCGCCCGCACGTGCCCCCCACATTCATTTCGGCACACTCCTCACACGTTTCGTGGCCCCATAGGGAGCTCCACCGAAGGCCCCAATGCCACCGTCCACATGCGTCCCCCACACCCACTTCGGCACACCCCTCACACGTTTCGTGGCCTCATAGGGAGCTCTCCACCGAATGCCCCAGTGCCACCGTTCACTTGCGTCCCCCGCACCAAATCCGGCACACACCTCACACGTTTCGTGGCCCCGTAGGGAGCTCCACCGAAGGCCCCAGTGCCACCGTCCACATGCGTCCCCCGCACCCATTTTGGCACACCCCTCACACGTTTCGTGGCCCCATAGGGAGCTCCACCGAAGGCACCAGTGCCACCCTCCACACGCGACCCCCACACCCACTTCGGCACACCCTTCACACGTTTCGTGGCCCCACAGGGAGCTCCACCGAAGGCCCCAGTGCCACCGTCCACATGCGTCCCCAACACCCACTTGGGCACCCCCCTTACACGTATCGTAACCCCAGAGGGAGGCAGGCTCCGTTGCAGGCTCCAATGCCATCGCCCGCATGTGCCTCCCCCCACCCGTTTCGGCACACCCCTCACACGTTTCGTGGCCCCAGAGGGAGCTCCACCGAAGGCCCCAGTGCCACCGTTCATATGCGCCCGCCGCACCCATCTCGGCACACCCTTTACAGGGTTCGTGGCCTCATTGGGAGCGCCACCGAAGAAGATCTTCACAACTGCGGTACTCACAACTGCATATGGTTGAGTCTTTCGCCAGGCTGATGTGTGTCCCCTGGACGAGCGAGGGCCATTCCCAAGCCGACGTCGCGTTTTCGTCTGTGACGCGGTGACGCGGGTCCCCGGGGATCTCGACCCGTTCCCCGTGGCCGCTTTTCCATCCAGAGCCGTTTTCTGTTAACGGCCCCACGGCGATGCAGACGACAGAAAAGCCCGCCGTCGCGATTTCGAGGGGAGGTCACCAGCGACACCAGGAGACCGAGCTTCGAGAATCTATCATGGGCGATGCTCGGTGTTCGGGAGGGTGCGCTCGGGGTGACGCATCGACGCCCAGTCGCCCATTGATCACCGATGGGGGCTTCATATAGCCAACCACACCCAGAACCGTGCAGATTTGCAGTCGGGGGTCAATCGCCGATCTATCCGCGATGTATCGCCGATTCCAGGTCGATGCTTCACCCACTGAGCTCCCCCCTCAATCAAGGATCACGGGGGCGTGAGACGTCACTGCAGGCAGCCTCCCAGAGGCCGAAGACGCCGGACAAGAGCGGCCGCCGCGGTTGTGTGTTCGGCCCCGATCTGAGGGCCTACCGTTCCTCTGTTGAGAGGCGCGGAAAGCGCGACGTCATGGCACACATGTTAGACGCTGGATCTTCGACCCCGGATTTCCAGTCCTGGTAAACTTCGTAACTGGGTTTATTTGCCGTGCCATGGGCGCCATGGCTTATGTACTGTAGTTGACTTTCGCGTGCGACGGGCATTCGACCCGCGGGACATCATGGCGTGAGCGTGTCTTCGCCTTTCTTCGCCATGCTGCTCCAACCAGCTGGCTCTCTCATCCTCCGCCTTCCTGCTTCCCACTCCTCCTCCTCCTCCTCCTCCTCCTCTTCCTCCTCCTCCTCCTCCTACTTCTCCGCTTGACAACTTTTCTACACTGGGAGATTCCTGTGCATCGATTCCGTGGCACGCTGGTCGACAATGGCAAAGCGAGCGAATCGTCAGGAGACATTGTCTTCTGTTGCGGTCTTTGATTGCTGTTGTGTGATGTCCGTTTATATAAAGGATCGCTCGGATCATGGGGAAAAGGATTCACAACAGTTTAACGCATCCAGCCGATCTCCTCCCGCTCCTGCTCTCTTCCCATGCGGCTCGTGATGCGAACGGCACGCGCGCGAGCTCACACAGTGCTGGTGCGAATGCTGTAGTGGACACACGCAGAGCCAGCGCAGGACGGGGCGGAGGAAGAGGAAGTGGAGGAGGAGGAGGAAGTGGTGGAGGAGGAGGAGGAGGAAGAGGAGGTTGAGGAGGAGCAGGAGGAGGAGGAGTAGGAGTAGGAGGAGGAGGAGGAGGAGGTGGAGGAGGAGTGGCTCGCTGCTGGGAGGGCAGGCCTCGATCCTGGATCCTCGGCCCACCAGATCCGCCGGCGCCCCCGGCGCGCCCAGGACGCGGCCCGCAAAAAGGAGCAGGCGAGCGGGCCCCGGGAGATCTCCGCCGAGGAGCGCCCATAACTTCCCCCATCTGCTTCTCCTCATCCTCCTCCTCCTCCTCCTCCTCTCCTCCTCCTCCTCCTCCTCCTCCTCCTCCTCCTCCTCCTCCTCCTCCTCCTCCTCTCTCCTCCTCCTCCTCCTCCTCCCTCCTCCTCCTCCTGCTCCTCATCCCTCCTCTCCTCCTCTCCTGCTCCTCCTCCTGCTCCTCCTCTCCTCCTCCTCCTTCCTCCCTCCATCCGGCTCCTCCTCTCCTCCTCCTCCTTCCTTCCTCCCTCCTCCTCCTCCTCCTCCTCCTCCTCCCCCTCTTTCCCCTCCTCCTCTTCCTTCCTCCTCCTCCTCCTCCTCCTCTCCTCTGCTCCTCCTCCTCCTGCTCCTCCTCCTGCTCCTCCTCCTCCTCCTCGTCCTTCCCCTTCCCCTCCTCGCCCTCCACCTCCTCATCCTCCACCTTCTCCTCCTGGGGACCTGGATCGTCCTGAACCACCGCCCGAAGCCCGAGTTATATGGCCCAATGGCCAGCCCCCCAGACACCTGAGACCAATTGCTTCCATTAATTTTCTGACTTCATTTGCCCCCTTGAGGGTCGGGGCCCATTCCAGCAGCTATAGCTCGGCGATGGTTCCTGTGGGATACGTTCTGGCTGGAGAGCCGAGTCGACAGAATGGCAGCGGGTACGAGTCACCCACTTACCCTCCAGGGCCTCCTCCCTAAATTTGCTGCAGGTCCCCCAAAACTCCAATGTCTTGAACAAGGCAAGGCGGAGGTTGTTTACTGCTTGCCATCCGGCACTGCGCGGGTCTCTTAAGGTTGAACGGTCCTAGCTTTCTGACAACCAAGATCTTACAATATTGGCATGCTTCGGGCCACCGGTGGCTTTCATCATTGAACGCAATCGCCGTCGTCGCCACCGCTTCGACACGACACGAACCCAGAGATCCAATGGCGCGTTTTCTTTGATAAAAGGGACCCTGGAAGTCCTCACCAGCTCCCCAGGGTCGGCGAATCACCACGAATACGTGGTCTTTGCTGCGACGCTGCAGCCCGAGAACAGACCCTGCAGGCCGAAACCGGCGATCAAAATCAGGACCCGTTTCGGGACTCAAGAGACGGGGGTCAATGCAAAAGGAGGTCAGCCAGAGCGCGGGATCTTGCAGGATCCTGCAGGGCCAGGGGCGCACTGACCCGGTCTTGGGCGCAGGATCTGGCAGGATCCTGCAGGATTTTGCAGGATCTTGCAATGCCCGACTGATCCGGGTTTGGATTGACCCGGGTCAGTATATCCCCGACTGGTCCTCCCAGGACCCACTGCCCTTCATACTGATCCTCCCTTGTATCTTCGGAGGCAGGCCACTTTAATGCGACAGAGTTCAGAAATCCCCGCGGGGGTCGCAACGCCCCATTGGGAAGCGGACGATGAAACAGATATATTTCTGCTTCTTCGTCGTCATCGCCATCGAGGCCGCCAGTCCGTAGCCATCGACACCGACGAGAAACGAACATTTGTTTAAACGTCCGCTGTGCTGTCTAATCGCTGGGTCGCACTCGTCCCGGTCCCTTCGCCTTCTCCGCGCGCCGGGGAGCAGGTCTGCGCTGATGTGGCCAGCGAGCGCGAGAGAGAGGTCCACCAGGAGAAATCTGCTGGCGCCCTCACGGGCCCTCTTGCCGTCCTGGGCGGCCCGCGCCAGAGCGGCGCGCGGTGGTCGCCCCCGGGGGGGGGGGCGCTGGCGCTCCGTTTTGGGGCAGGAGAGCGGCGAGGCTCCTCCCGTGCATCGGGGGGGAGGAAGAGGAGGAGGGGGAGGAGGAGGAGGAGGAGGAGGAGAAGGAGGAGGAGGAGGAGGAGGAGGAGGAGGAGGAGGAGGCTGAGGAGGAGGAGGAGGAGGAGGAGGGGAGGAGGAGGAGGAGGCGGAGGCGGAGGCGGAGGAGGCGGAATAGAAGCAGAAAACACCACATGAACAGAAACTCTTGGCGCTCCGCGCGGATTTCTCGGATCCGCGCCTGGGCCCCCCCGGCGGCGCCTCCGGCGCCGCCCCTGGCGCGCCCCGCGCGCCAGGGAGGGGGGGGGGTCCGGCGCGAATCCAAGAAATCCGCGCGGAGCGCCAAGAGTTTGTGTTCATGTGGTGTTTCCCTCCTCCTAGTGTTCTGTCGGGCCTGTCCCCCTATAGGGGGATTTTCAACGAAATTTTTAAAGAATACCCCAACAATGCAAAATAACAAATATTCAAAAAGATAAAAAACACCAAAAATGCAAATCAAAATAAAAAATATTCAAAAAATAGTCCCCAGACAATTTTCTGATTATTTTTGGTGCATTTCTCATTTTTCGTCGAAAATCCCCCTGTAGGGGGACGGGCCCGACTTCATCCCAGTGTGGGCCTCCGGGTGCGCACAGGCGGCACCCCTCAGGCAGTGCCGGCCGCCACCCCTTACGCGGGCCCCGCCGAGTCCCTCCAGGGCTGCCTCGGCATCCTGGCGCCGCCTCCGTGCGTGCTCGTGGGCCGCCCTCCGCGCGCCCTCCTCCTCCTCCTCCTCCTCCTCCTCCTCCTCCTCCTCCTCCCTCCTCCTCCTCCTCCTCCTCCTCCTCCTCCTCCTCCTCCTCCTCCTCCTCCTCCTCCTCCTCCTCCAGCGGGGTGGAGGGTGGGATGGGAAGCTGTCGCAAGCGAAGCGGTTGTTTTCAGGTGTCCAGGTTGGCATCGGGATTTGTCGAGGATGTCTCAAGCGAAACGCTTGTTGTCACATGTCCGGGTCGTCCAGGCGGATGTGCAACATGGAGATCCGCTGAGGCTGTGTGTGGCGAGACGCCTGTTTTCACGTGTCCCTGGGCCCCGCCCGCACTGCGGCTGCTGGCCCCGTCACTGGCTGCGTCGCGATGTCGCCCCGCGATTGCTGCTAGGGACAGCCCTTCGGCCTGGCCACCCCATGCGCGCTCCCCGCGGCCTCGCTGCGTGAGAGTGCCCCCGCGCTCCGGGCCCCTGTCTGCGGCCGCTCTCTCTCTCTCTCTCTCTCTCTCTCTCTCCTCCTTCCCCGCATGCGGGCCAATTCGCGACGCCCTAGCCTTAAGTCGGGCCTGTCCCTCTACAGGAGGAATAGTCAAATATGTGTTTTTTGAAGGGAAAAAAGACAAACAGCAACAGTCTGGGGACTCTGTTCCTATACTCTGTTTTGATCATTTTTCGGGGCGTGTTTTGGGTATTTAGATTTGTTCGTCCAAAATCTGCCTGTCGGGGGACATGCTCGACCTAACTGTAACCTGGTGTTGCCCTGGCGCGCGAGCGGATTGCCTGTGCCGCGCCGCGATGGAAAAACAAGTTGTCACGTGTCTTCAGGTCTCGCAGGCGGAGGGTTGCTACAGGATTTGCTGACGATGTCTCGGACGATTTCGCGCGTCCAGGTCGCCAAGGCGGGTGTTGCACGTGAGGATTTACCGAGGCAGCCTCGGGCGATACGCTTGTTCTCACGTGTCCAGGTCGCCAGGCGGGTGTCTGACATGAGGATTTGCAGAGGATGTCTTGGGCGAAACATCTGTTATGCAGGATTTGTTGAGGATGCCTCTCGCGAGACGCTGGTTGTTCATTTGAGGAGTTGCCGAGCGGGTGCCTTGCCGTCGCGTCGGTTAGTTTCAGTTCGGGTCCGCCCCCCGCTCGATTCGTCCCAGTTACTTCGGAATTGAATCGGATCCTGACTTCGAGCTTCTTGCGCGTCCCGCGTGTTTCGACTGCGACCTGCTGCTCGCGAGCCATGAGCACAGGCAGCTCGAGCTCCATATTCGAAAGAGCGTGTTCTACCGCTGCTGGCGGAAAACCGAGGGGGGGTCACTACCGGTTCGAACCCCTCCCCCCCCCCCCCCTCCGGAAAACCGGGGGGGGTCACTACCGGTTCGAACCCCTCCCCCCCCCCAGCTCATCATGAAAAGGGGGGGGGTCACTACCGGTTCGAACCCCCCCCCCCCCCTCGAAAACCGAGTGGGGGTGCGGACAGTGGTGGGGACGGTGTTGGTGGGGACAGTGGTGAGGGGACAGCGGGACAGTGGTGGGGACAGTGGGACAGCGGTGGGGACGGTAGTGGTGGGGACAGTGGTGGGGACAATGGTGGGAACAGGGGGGACAGTGGACAGTGGTGGGAACGGTGGTGGTGGGGACAGTGGTGTGGGGACAGTGGGAATGAGGTGGAAACACTGGGACAGTGGAGGGTACAATGGTGGTGGGGACACTGGTAAAGGCGGTGGCGAGGACGGCGGTGGGACAATGGGACAGAGGTACAGTGGGGACAGTGGTGGGGACAGTGGGGACAGTGGTGGGAACAGTGGGACAGCTCAGTGGGACAGCGGAGGAGTCAGTGGGACAGTGGGGACAGTGGGGATAGGCAGTGGTTGGGTCCGTGGAGACAGTGGGGAGAGTGGAACCGTGGTGGGAACAGTTGTGGGAACAGTGGGGACAGTGCGACAGTGGTGGGGGCACTGGTGGGGACAATAGGGACGGTGGTGGAACCAGCGGGGGCAGTGGTGGTGAGGACAGTGGTGCTGGGAACAACAGTGGGGGATGTGATGCGAGCGGTGGTAGGGACCGGGAGTCGTTTGCTGGCGATGCGTGGGGGGGGGGGTCGAACCGGTGAGTGACCCCCCTTTTTTCGAGGGGGGGGGGGGGTTAGGGGAGGGGGGGTTTTGCCGGGGGGGGGGGGGGAGGGGTTCCAGCAGGGGGGGGGGGGGGGGATTTTCGGAGGGGGGGGGGGAGACCCCCGGGTTCCGGAGGAAAAGGTTGGCAATTTTCCACAGTAAAGCGGCGGTGGATCACGCTCTCTCCCATATTCAGATCGGTTCGGGCAGGACTGGCATGCCAAGCGTGGCTCGATCCACAACGCAACAGAGCACGCCACAGCTCGAGACAGCACGACGCGGCTCGAGTGCGGCATGGCACGGGCCAGCCGCCAGCCACGCCAGGATCGCAGCCCTGGCTGGTTGCGGGCGGCCTGCGCACCTCGGCGTGCGGCTCCCCCCGCCAGGAGACACCACGGGGATGCAGGATGGTGAGCCGAAGCGTACTCGATTCTTCCCAGTCATGGTGTGGATTCTTCCCAGTCGTGGTGTGTCTTGTCTCGCTTCGAGTCGGGTCGGTTTGGCGATCGTCTTGGTTCGTGGTGTTTCGGGCTGTCTTGAGGCAGGTCGTCGCGTCTTGCATCGCCGCGCTTCGGTCCGTCCACTCTCGGTGCGCTTCGCGCCGGCTCGATCCACAACGCAGTAGAGCACAGCACAGTTCAATGCGGCATGGCACATTTTATCGGAGGTGGACAGAACCCCCAACAGTGACACGTCGATTAGTGAATGGTCCGTTCTCGGTTCTCGAGAGGGCGCCGTGGCCGTTATTTCCCAGGCTTGCGCCCGCCAGGTTTGGGCCTCAGGTCGTTTTCACTAAAACACGTTTTGCTAAAGGGAGGTCTGTCCATCCCCGATTTTAGTTCACCGCAGCGCAAGACAGCACAACCTCTGGCACGGTACATCACCATCGTTACTTTGAGCATTAGAGCTCCCCGTCGCCGCAGGTTGGTGTCTTAGAAACGTTCCCATGCTTCACGATGTATCCTTTTCCGGGTTCGTGGGTCGATCATGCTTCTTCCTGGTCCATGTGTCCCTTATCATCCTCATCAGATCGCCGTCCCCCGTCTCCCCCTTGTTCTCCTCCCCTATTGCTGCCCCCCTTTATCATGTCCCCCTGTCCCCCTCGCTGCCCCCCTGGCTCTGCCTCGTCTGCCCCCCTCCACCCTCCAGATCGCGCGCCTGGCACGGAGGAGAAGGAGCGGTTCATGAAGACCCAAGACTTCCGTACCTTCTTCGAGCGCACCACGCTGCTGGTAGAGCGGACTCTGGGCCAGGATTGATTGGGCATGGTCCCACTTTTCCTCGACGGGTGATGCGCCGAGGCTGTTGGCGAATCGATATGCAATTGTCATGGCGTCAGTTCGTTTGCTAGCTCGGTTGTTCTGAACATGGGGATGCATTGTGTGACATTTTGGGCCACGACAATGTATGCATGGACCTGTTGGGACATTTCACATGGCATGCATTTCGCCTCGCACGTATTCTCGTTTCTACACTACCCGAGGTGGGAAGTTTGGTAATCTACTTGCCACGGGAGTCTCTGTTGTGCTCCGCCTGCTCAATGGCAGGTCCCCGCAGTTTCGATCAGTCTCGGGGCAATACGAGTGAGGTCGCGTGTTTGAAGCTCAATGCCTCCAGGCTCAGCCTCCCGTCTTCCGCCTCCCGTCTCTTCTCGTTATATTTTGACGCTGAGATAGAGCGGCTCTCGGAGCATCAACATCACCAACCTAGCAGCTACATCAGCCATCGGCAGCAAGATACGCAGTAGAAGCAACGGCGGCAGCCGTAGCAGCAGAAATGAAAGCAGCACCAGCAGCGGCGTATCAGCAGCAGCAGTAGCAGCATTAGAAACAACAGCAGCAGCAAAGGCAGCAGCAGCAGAAGCTGGAGCAGCGGCCACAGCAGCAGTCGCGAACCCAAGGGCAGCAGCAACAGTAGCAGCTGCAGCAACACCAGCACCACAGGTACCAGCACGAGTAGCAGCAGAAACAGAAACTGCAGCAGGAGCAGGCAGGAGCAGTCGTAGATTCAGTAGCCAGAGAAGCAGCAATACCAGCAGGCAGCAGCTTCAACAGCAAGAGTTTTGGCAGACCCATGCGCTGAGACAGCAACATTCGCACGAGCAGAATGAGCGGCGGTATGGCCGCCGGTTCCAGCCATATTCCCAGTAAGGTGCAGGGAGGCATCCGTCGCCGCTGCAGATGCACACTTAGCAGCAGCAGCAGCAGCAGCAGCTACAGGGCACCGGCACTCGCATCGGCAGTAGTTGTAGCCGCATCACCACCAGCTGCATCAGCAGCAGCACCAGCCGCGCCAGCGACAGAGACTGCCAGCGGCGGGGGCACCAGTAGTGCCAGGTTCTGCGGAAGTCGCGGGTGGTAGCAGCACGAGCAGCGACAACACCACACGAAGCATCCGTATTTGCAGTATCCTTATCGCGTTGGCAGTCCGAGCTGGATCATGCATGCATGCATCGCCAGCAAACAGGGCATCCACTTCGGTACCATATTTGCGAGGCTGCGCCTGGGAGCTGCAGGCGCCGATGGAGGAGCACGAAGTCAAATGAGGAAGGGATGAAACGCTGGAGAAGGAATGACAGATAATGAGAACGCGGGGTGCGAACGGGGGGGTGGATGATCGAAGGACGAAGTGCACTGCCAGGCAAGGCAATCTTGAAATTCACAGTTTGTGGTTTTCAATGGTGGTTGTTACCCATGCCTTGAACACAGCCCGCCCAAACCAGCGAACACACAGTGTCGTGGTGTGCGCATAGGTTTGGGCTTTCTGAGGTCCAGCTGGGGGTTTGTCGGGGCAGTGTGGGAATTTGGGCACACTGGGTCGTCTTGGTTAACTCTTGGGCGGAGGAGGTCCCGCAGGGTGTGGCGGGTCACTTCCCGCCTTGTCGCCGCTGCCTTGTAGCGTTACTCCACCTCCTCCACCCCTTTGTCCCACTACGCATCGTCCTCTTTCTGCCCCCCTCTTCCTCTTCCTCATTCCTTCTCGTCGCTGCCCTGTAGCATTACTCCACCTCCTCCACCCCCTTTCTCCCACTACTCATCTTCCTCTTCCTGCCCCCCTCTTCCTCGTCCTCATTCCGCTGTTCTGTCCACCCTCCACCCGTTCTCGCTCTCTCCCTGCTCATCCCCACCGTTTTTCAGAGGTCCCTGGAGGCTCAGGGGCCCTGGAAACGGGCCCACGGTGCTGACAGGGGCATCGCAACGGCCAGGGGGAGGAAGCCGAAGGATGGAGATCGGGACTGGGCACCTCCGTTTCTGCATTCGCTCGCCGTTTCGGCTCCGCGCCGCCCAACAGGCTGGGGCTGGCAGATCTAGAAAAAAGGAGCTCCCGACTCGCCTCGCACACCCTGCACACCGCGGCCGTCAGGCCCCGAGTGTGCTGGCGCTCCCCTTGAGATCCCGCCTCGCGTGCTCGGACGGGGATCGCTCGCAGCAAAAACTACGCTGCACGGGGCTGGACCTTGTTTTGTGTTGTGGCACTGTCGTGCAGTCAGGGGGAACTGCTCGAACCGAACCGTGGCTACATTCAGGAGGGAAAGAAACGCACAGACACAATTAATCGGCGATTCCCCAGAAAATATGGGAAACTATGGGAAGTGGTGGGGAAGACAAAAACTCAGAAAATATTGGAAAATACTGGGAATATTTTTATTTGTGTGTATTTATTTGTGTGTTTGTGGGCCCCTTCAGCTACATGCCTTTCCTCTGATGCCGGCGCCCCCGTCGGGCAGAGGCCCCGTCTGCGGGGGGCGGGGAGGCTGGCGGAGGCGTCCGGGTCTCCCAGGCCGGCCAGACCACTCGACGGCCTCGCGTCTCGATCTTCGACCCCTCTCATTATTTCCTCGATCCTCGACGCTCACTGTTACGCGATCCTCGCTGTACCTCGACCCTCATTGCTCCTCACTGTGGCATGGGCGCTCGGGCCTCAGGATCCTGTGTCCCCGCTGCTCCGCCTGCGATGGGTGTGGTCGCCGCTGGCGGGGGGAGGGGCTTCCGGCAGCCATCGACGGGCAAGCAGCAGCTCACTGCACAGGGGAGCCCGGGCTCGAGGGGACGACAGAGAGCTGCACGGTGCCGCCCGTGATGAGAAGGTCGGCATAGCCTGTCCCCTCGCAGCTCGACCAGGGGAGCGTGAGAGCAGAGGGGGGGGCAAACACACTTTGTATCCGTCAGCGGGCGAGGCGGCGAACTCCGCTCCAGCGAGAAGCTGGATAGGGGGCACTAGCTAGCGAGTTGGCCGGCGGGCAGAGAGGGAAGGGGGGACGGCCAAGAGGAAGAGGGTCAGGAGGGGAAAAAAACACACAGACACGATTAATCGTCGATCCCCAGGAAAATGTAGGAACATATGGGAAGTGGGGGGGGAAGACAGAAACCCAGAACATATGGGAGAATATGGGGAATCCTTTGATTTGTGTGTATTGATTTGTGTGTTTGTGGGCCCCTTTCAGAGGGGGCGCTCTGGCGCCGACGAGTTCGACGCCGAGCAGCCGCGGGGGGGGCCGCAGCAGCCAGGCGCGCAGGGCTTCGGAGCGCGGTGGGCGGCCGTGGCGAGCCACGGCGGCGAGGGCGGCGGGGAGCGGCCGCCTCCTCCTCCTCCTCCTCCTCCTCCTCCCCCTCCTCCTCCTCCTCCTCCTCCTCCTCCTCCTCCTCCCTCCTCCCCTCCTCCTCCCCCCCTCCTCTCCTCCTCCTCCCCCTCCTCCTCCTCCTCCTCCCCTCCTCCTCCTCCTCCTCCTCCTCCTCCTCCTCCTCCTCCTCCTCTCCTCCTGCTCCTCCTCCTCCTCCTCCTCCTCCTCGCGCCATTCAGCCCTCCAACTCACGTGGGGGGACAGACACACTCCTCAACCCAGGACTCGGAGCCCGAACCTCGACCCCAGATCCTCGATCCTCGACGCTTGCTCGTGGGATGCTCGAGCCTGCGGCCATCGAGCCTGCGGCCCTCGAGCCTGCGACCCTCGGACCTCTCGATCTTCGAGCGCGCGGTGCTCGAACCTCGAGCCCGCGCGATCCTCGAGCCCGCGCGATCCTCGATCCTGCGGTGCTCGATCCCTGCGGTCCTCGATCCTGCGAGCCTTCGACCATGGCTCCTCTCTGCTCTTCCTCCCTCCTCGCCCCCTCTCGTCCCGCCGCCCTCCACCCGCTGCTGCCGCCGCCGCCGCTTCCTCGGCTTCGGGCCGCCGCGGGCGAGGCCAAGGTGCCTGACGAACAAGTTCCGATCAGCCAGTTCCGAACGCGTTCTGGTTGCCGATCGGCGCGGGCCCTCGAACCCCCTTCCCCCCCCATGGAGTAGATCTTGGCTGTTCCTGGCGCCTGTTTCAAGCAGGCGGAGCCTCTCCCCCACAGGACGCACTGTTGCAGACGGTCGCGTTAAGCAGAGGCCCGGAGCCAGCCCCCCCCTCCCCCTCCCCCCCTTTTCCGCCCAGTGCCGGCACGCCGACTAAGAGAACGTACGCCCAGCGCTCAGTCTTTTTAGCCCTGTCCGACCCAGGCGCAGATCGGGCTCAGCTCAGGGCTTCTCGCTGCCCCCGGCCCCCGCCAAGTGTCGGGCCGGGCGAAAGGGGGGGATTGGGAAAGGGGGGGTTACGGAATTTGCTGCATGCAGCTGGTTTCGGCCTCACCGAGGGGCCCATTCCTCGATACATCGCCGCCTCCGGCGCCGGGAGGCGCCGGGAAAATCAGCTACGTGAGCTGATTCTCAAACCTGCCCTTTGCTATCCCCCCCTTTCGCCCGACCCGAAAGTGGCCGCCCTTCGGCGGCCCGAGGAGCAGTGGGACACGACGGTAGACTTCAAGGACGAGGGCGGCGAGGCCCTCGGCGGCGGCGCCTCGGGGCGGCGGCGGCGCCCCGAAACCTCGGCATCGCGCGGGCGTGTGCGTGCGTGCGTGCGTGCGTGCGTGCGTGCGTGCGTGCGTGCGGGCGTGCGGGCGTGCGTGCGTGTGCGTGCGTGCGTGCGTGCGTGCGTGTGTGTGCGTGCGTGCGCGTGTGCGTGTGCGTGTGCGTGTGCGTGTGCGTGTGCGTGTGCGTGTGCGTGTGTGTGTGTGTGTTTGTGTGTGTGTGTGTGTTTGTGTTTGTGTTTGTGTTTGTGTCTGTGTTTGTGTTTGTGTTTGTGTTTGGGTTTGGGTTTGTGTTTGTGTGTGTGCGTGTGCGTGTGTGTTCTTCGTCGCTCGGCGAGGGCCAGCGAGGGGCATCCCGGGTCTTCGCGCAGCAGCCACAGACAGATGCCACGCACGACGCCGAAGCGCGCACCCCGTTTGGCTGATTTCGGATCGACCTTTGGGTTGATCTCCGCGTGGGGCCTCGAGGTTCTTGAGGCCCCTCTCTTCTCAATTCGGCCCTCTTCCGTTCCTTTGGGTTCGGTTGGGGCTCCCGACTTGGACACGGGACGCGGACGTCCCGAGCGACGGCGGGGCGGCGGTCGGTCGGCGCGTCGTGCTCCGCGCGGGGCGCCGGCGGCTCTGGCCCACCGCGCCCCGGGCGCGGCACGCCGACCGCGCGTCGGGAGGAGGGAGGGAGGGAGGAGGAGGAGGAGGAGGGAGGAGGGAGGAGGAGGAGGAGGAGGAGGAGGAGGAGGAGGAGGAGGAGGGAGGAGGAGGAGGAGGAGGGAGGAGGGGGAGGAGGAAGGAGGAGGAGGAGGGAGGAGGAGGAGGAGGAGGAGGAGGAGGAGGAGAGGAGGAGGAGGAGGAGGAGGAGGAGGAGGAGGAGGAGGAGGAGGAGGAGGAGGAGGAGGAGGAGGAGGAGGAAGGGGAGGAGGAGGAGGGAGGAGGAGGAGGAGGAGGAGGAGGGGGAGGAGGAGGGGAGAAAGGGGAGGAAGGGGAGGAAGGGGAGGAAGGGGAGGAAGGGGAGGAGGATGAGGGGAGGATGAGGGGAGGAGGAGGAGGAAGGGGAGGAGCAGGTGCACCGAGACCGCCGTTGGGCCTGGAGAGCCAGTCGGGGGGTGGAGAGACCTCCTCCTTTGAGGCGTCGATTCGCGAATTGGCCGTTTTCGGTTCGCGGGAGGGCGTCGCGGCCGTCAGTCTAGCGGGTCCAGGTCCGTCGGTGTCGGTCCCAGGCCGTTTTCACTAAGGGGAGGCTGAGGCTTGCTAAAGGGAGGTTTCTCCACCGCCGGGTCAGAGCCCGCGTCGCTGCGGCCAGATTCTCCTCGCTGGTCGGAGCGCGCCCCAGGAGAGGTCCGTGGAGCAGGGGCATCGGTGCTTTGTGGTTTCCCCAGTTTTCGAGCGTCACCTGTTGGAGCCCCTTTCCCATCCTCCCGACCCGCGGAGTTGGGCGACACGCCATCAGCCACATAGCCTAGCGTGTCTCCAGGGCCGCCGCCGCGGCTCGCTAGGCAAACGCTGTGGCCATGCTACTGCGGTCGACCCCAAAGAGCCTTCGGCGACTCCTCGGCGCGGCGTCGACCAGTTATTACGGGGTCGGGGGGATGGTTTGGGACCGGGAGCGACATAGATTGTGTTGTCCCTCCAAAACTTGCACGTCCTTTTTTCTCAAACCCTTCTCTTGTTCCCAACCAACCTGTGTTGTTGGGTCTTCGTTTTTAAGAGACGGTCCCCGCGTCTCATCCTCGTCCTCCTCCTCCTCCCTCCTCCCCTCCTCTCCGTCCGTCACACCCAGCACGGCGCTTCGTGGTCCCATAGGGACGTCCACGTGTGTCACATGCGTTTCCCCCACCCAGTACAGCGCTTCGTGGCGCAATAAGGGGCTCCGCCGAAGGCCCCCGTGGCGCGCAGTCCGCATGCGTCTCCCTCACCCAGTACAGCGTGTCCTGGCCCCATAGGGAGGTCCACCTAAGGCCCCAGTGGTGTGTATCACATGCGTCTCCCCCACCCAGTACAGCGCTTCGTGGCCCCATTGGGGCTCCGCCAAAGGTCCCCGTGGCGCAGTCCGCATGCGCCTCCCTCACCCAGTACAGCGCTTCGTGGCCTCATAAGGAGGTCCACCTAAGGCCGCAGTAGTGTGTATCACATGCGTCTCCCCCACTCAGTACAGCGCTTCGTGGCCCCATAGGGGCTCCGCCAAAGGTCCCCGTGGCGCAGTCCGCATGCGTTTCCCTCACCCAGTATAGCGTTTCGTGGCCCTGTGGCGCAGTCCGCATGCGTTTCCCTCACCCAGTATAGCGCTTCGTGGCCCCATAAAGGGGCTCCGCCGAAGGTCCCCGTGGCGCAGTCCGCATGCGCCCCCCCCCCACCCAGTACAGCGTTTCGTGGCCCCATATGGACCCCTACCGAAGGTCCCCGTGGCGCAGTCCGCATGCGTCTCCCTCACCCAGTACAGCCCTTTGTGGCCCCATAGAGGCTCCGCCGAAGGTACCCGTGGCGCAGTCAGCATGCGTCACCCCCACCCAGTAGAGCGTTTCGTGGCGCCATAAGGGGCTCCGCCGAAGGTCCCCGTGGCGCAGTCCGCATGCGTCTCCCTCACCCAGTACAGCGTGTCGTGGCCCCATATGGAGCTCCACCGAAACTCCCCGTGGCGCAATCCGCATGCGTCCCCCCCACCCAGCACACCGTTTCGTGACCCGTTAGGGGCTCCGCCGAAGGTCCCCGTGGCGCAGTCCGCATGCGTCTCCCTCACCCAGTATAGCGCTTCGTGGCCCCATAAGGGGCCCCACCCAAGGTCCCCGTGGCGCAGTCCGCATGCGTCTCCCCCACCCAGTACACCGTTTTGTGGCCCCATGGGGGCTCCGCCGAAGGTCCCCGTGGCGCAGTCCGCATGCGTCTCCCCCACCCAGTACAGCGCTTCGTGGCCCCATAAGGGCTCCGCCGAAGGTCCCCGTGGCGCAGTCCGCATGCGTTTCCCTAACCCAGCACAGCGTTTCGTGGCCACATAGGGAGCCCCACCGAATGTCCCCGTACGCGCGGCCCTGTGATGGGTTCTAGCGGCCAGACAGACAGCGTCTCATATGCGACCCTTCGGCGTGTCCAGAATGCCGATCCTTGGTACGTCGAAGCTCTGCCGATTCTCGTGTTGCCAAATGCCGTGAATTGGTGGTGCCTATGCTTCGCCCAGCTTCCGCCCCTGCTCCACTGCCTTCCCCAGCATCAACTATTCGCCGTCGCCGCCCAGGGAAACGGGCGGTGGGGGCTCCGAGGGGAGCTCGGATTACGTCCAAATCGGCCCCCGCACTGCACCCGCCTCCCGTGCCCCCCGCGGCGCCCGTCTTGGTCCAGGAGGCCCCCCCGCTGACCCCCATCGAGAATCGTCGAACACTTCAACGGGCACAAGCCAAAGCGAAGCGAGCCCCTCGGAAGACGGAGACAAACACTGGGCACAGTTTCACGTGCGGGCGTCGTGGGCAACCAGCAAGCTATGCAAACCACATTTACGATTGTGCAAAGGCCCCCTTGGATACATGGCTAGAGGGCGCGCAGCAACGCATTCGACGCCGAGACAAGAAACTCACCCCCGAGTTGATCGCCTCTTGGAAATTTCAGCGCAAGTATTGTGGCACCAAGTTTCCCGATCAATGCCGTCTCTCGGAGCACTTACTTCAACTTGCGCAAGAACAGACGCGTTTAAAGCAAGCTTCCAGCGTAGCTTTCACCTCGCAGCGAGGTCGACTTACGCGCGCCTCGCGCGCCGAGTTCCCGCGTCCTTCGGCCGTGGACCTCGCTGGAAAAACGGAGTGCAAGCCTCCGGGGAAGTAGTTGTTGGCTCAGTCGAGGCCGTAGCTGGCCTCGTATTGCGCAAGTTACAGAACGCTTGAAATCCTCACAGCAAAGGGCCGCGATGCGGCTGCGAGTGCTGGCGCTGGCGAAGGCGGGCGCGGGGCCGGCCCTCCCCCGAAGAATGCTTCGACCAAGACCGTCGCCATTGAGCTCATGCCCATCGCGGTGTCTCTTGACCGCCGTGTTGCTACTCTCGAGGATCGCGCTTCTTGCGCGCGCGTGGTCAAGGGGGCAAAGCCAAGGAGGAGCTGGAGCAGCTTTGCGGCATATGGAAGGAAGTCCGAGGAAAAAGGGAGGCGGGACGAGTTTGACAAAGCAAAGGAGTCAGACATGCAGGATGCGAAGTTGGCCCGTCGCTCTCTCGGCGGTTGTCTGCGCTCTGCCATGTGCAAGGCGATAGCGGGGCAGCTCGGCGAGCCCTCAACGGCGCGCTGTCCGAGGCAGATCAGAAGCCAGTCCAGTACCTCTCGGAGCTAGGTGTCGCGGAGCTGGGCGCGCAGTTGTTCCGGGCAGAACCCGGGCATCCCACGCGGAAGGCTGGGCGCCCGTGGGTTTGGGCTTCATGCTGCAGACGGAGAAGTCGACAGATTTAGCCGCGCCCTTCAGGGCGCTCTACGCGATCAGGGGCGACGATGTGTTCTTCCCTGCCCGGCGCGCCCTCGATTGCCCCATTCTCAAGTGGCTGCTGGAGTTCAAGCGCAACTCAGTGGGCGACCAGGACGACGTCGAGGAGAAACCTCGGGCTCAGCGGAAGCGCGTCAAGCGCTGAGCAGCTGGGCTCCTGACCCCGTCGGGGGCAGCGGGCCCCCGGCCCAGGCCCTCTCTGAGGGCCGCCAGTTTTGCATGCAGATGCCTATGCTTCTGCAAGTTTTGCTACCATGTTGGCGGGGGGTCCGCCCGCTTGGCCTTCGGGCCTCTTCTACAGCGGAATGGCTGTCGTGGGAAAAAATTGTACGTGTCACTGCCGCGGTATCGAGACGCACCCTAAGGGTGCTTACGAGCCTCGCGCGAAGAACAGAGGAAAGATATCAAGGATGCGCTCGAGTTGCTTGACGCGGACGGCTCCGGCGAGATCGACTCCAAGGAGCTGAAGGTGGCTATGCGCGCATTCGGCTTCGAGCTTAAGAAGGAGGATATCTAGAAAACGATGTCGGACGTGGGCGACGATGAGAGCGGGGCGATCGGGCACGAGGAGGTTTTTGAACATGATGATGCACAAAATCTTGAATAGCGACCCCAAGGACGAGATCTTGAAAGGGTTCAGGCATTTCGACGACGACGAGACGGGAACAATATCGTTCAAGAACTTGAAGCGCATGGCGAAGGAGTTGGGGGAGAGGATGACGGACGATGAGTTGCAGGAGTTGGTCGACGAGACGGACCGCGATGGTGACGGGGAGGCGAACGAAGAGTTCCTTCGCATCATGAAGAAGAGCCGTTTGTCCTGAACTGCAACTTGCGACCGTCAAAGTGCTCCCTCCACCGAGCAATCAAATATGTGCTCGCCAGTTTGGGCAGCATCTAAGACGTGGTTTCGACGCAGCAGTCCCCCACTCTCGCGTGGATCCCCGCGCTCAGTCTTCGAATTCGAATCCCGGGTGCGGTCATTGTTTGTTCGACCGCTTGCATGCGAGTCCCTCTCACATTCCGCTCATGCATCATCGTCGTGTTTTCATCAGGTCGGATCTGCGGACACATCAGCATTTAAAAAAACACGTCGCTTGCCTCCAGGGTGCTCTGGGGAACTTGGGTTTTGACGGTTTTGCTTCGGAAAGCGTGACCTTCCCACACCAGACATCACTGGACGTCCTGGGGCCTCGGGTTTGGGTTTCTTGGGCAGGGTGCGGGCTTCCTTGTGGTCGAGCGCCCACTGCAGGCAGACATCGATCAAGTGGTTCCCCCCCCGACACCGCCCCGCCGCGGGCGCGCGGCGCGCGCGGCGCGCAGGCGGGGGCCGAGGACACGAAGGAGGCCATGAAACACGCGGCCGACTACGCGGAGGATTCCCGCCGTGCGGGGCCGCCCCTGTGCGGGGGCCTTTCTGTCGGAGGAGGCACGAGCGGCACGCCCCGCCGCAGGGGTTTGAGACCAGCAGCCTCTCGGACCGGCCAGGGGTCGGGGGCGGCCACGAGGGGGGTGATGACTACCCATCGGTTGTTGAAAGTAGGTGGTTTTGGAGTCCCAGTTTCCAATCTACTTGAAGCGCCTTCCTACTTCAACAATCGATTGGCTTCACCGCTTCCGTCCTCCCAAGGGGACGGACGGAACCCAATCTGCTGTCCACGCCTTCCTACTTCATGTTTCTGCCTACTTTTTCCGACCGATGGGCAGGGGGGGTGGATATCATGACGGGGGCCGTGAGATCTCCCCAGATTTCGCGGCGTTTCTTTTAATTTCGATGTGTCCATGCCCCTTCCCCGTGGGCCGCGCACATGCCGCCGGCCATGATTTGCGTCCCCCCCCCCCTCTGGGACGCCCCCCTCTTGGAACCCCCGGAGGGGAGGAGGCGAGGAGAGGGGGCAGGAGGGAGGAGGACGAGAAGGACCACCATGGCCACGCCAACGGCGATGTTGGTCAACGGCGATGTTGGGAATCTAATGTCCGCGGCGCCGAAGTCGTGCCGAACTCGCCATCGCCGCTGGGGTCTGTCGGAGATGCCGATACCGCTGCTCGTCCTGGAGAGCCTTCGTCCCCACAGCTGGATTATCTTTGAGCTTCTGGTCTTAGGTCGGGCCTATCCCTCTACAAGGGGAATCTTCATAAATAGTTAGAAATAGTATGGGGACGATTGTTCAGTTCTTTTTTGTGATATTTTTTGTTTTTTTGTTTGAATAAGTTTAAGCTCATCGTTTAAAGAACCCCCTGTAGGGGGACACGCCCGACCTAATCCTGGTCGGAGCGCACCCCGGGAGATGTCCGGGGAGTGGCGGTGTCGGTTGCTGTGGGTCTCCCCAGACGCGGCTCGCGGCACCGACACCGCCAGCAGGGCCAATCGACAGCGGGGAGGTCCGCGATGCTTCTGCCACGTGCGCCCGCTCCTCCTCATCAGTCCCCTCAAATTCGCACTGCGCCCTATCCTCCTCTCAGGAGGGAAAAACACACAGACACGATTAATCGTCGACTCCCAAGAAATATGGGAAAATATGGGAATTGGGCGGGAAGACGAAAACCCAGAAAATATGGAAACATATGGGGTATCATTTTATTTGTGTGTATTTATGTGTGTGTCCTTGGGCCCCTATCCTCCTCATCCTCGTTCACCTTAGTTCCTTTCTCGGGATCTGCTGCCTCTCGCCCCGTTTCCCGTCCCCCCTTCTGTTCCTCATAGTGTTCTCCCGTGCTCGACCTCGTCGCCGTCCTCGTCCTTTTCCTCCTCCCCCCATCCCCCTCCATACTTAGTACCTGCTCAATATGACTACTACTTCCCTCTCTTCCCAGATTATTTGCGAACGGGTGCCGTTTTCCCGCATATTATGTTCATTTCTTCGGATGGTCATAGATACGCACGTGTTTTATCGTATTGTTTGTTCGATCAGAACGTGTTCCCTAAAAGCGCATGCTAGAGTCTTCTAACAGTGGCGCAAGAGGACCAGAGAAGAGTCCCAAAGGGTGTGGCGGGTGGTGCTGGCAGCCGTTTACTTTGAGACCGCATCACAAGTTGTTCAGAAGTTCTATTCCTTGGCATCGCTCGGACGTGTGCATGTTTCGACCACCGAGGAGCATCTATGGTCATCGAGCGACAAATACACGCACGTGGTCGAAAGATGCACGGGGACCGGACGTCCGAGCGATGGCGAGATGATCGCCTCGGTGCCGGCTGCATGTTGGGCCCGGACGCCCCTACGACCTCTCTGTGAAAAAGGCTCCCGTGCACGTGGCAGTGCTTTCACCAAGGGCTCCCTCGAGGGCGCGAAGTTATTCGCGCTTCGCGCTTCGCGGTCCTCGTTCCTTCTCCCCCTCCTCCTCGTCCTCCTGTTCTCCCTTTGGGAGGGCGGCGCGAGAGCGCGAAGTTATTCGCGCTTCGCGCTTCGCGGAGCGCGAAGCGCGAACTTAGGAGCCCTTGATGATCCCTTGCGACAGAACAGATGACGGCGCACCCGGACGAGTCCTCACCCCTGCCATGGCTTGCCACGCTCCCCTGTAACACTACGCAGCGGTGCACATGGCCTTTTGTCTTACCCCTGCCACACGGCCAAGTCCTTGGCTGGGAAGTACGCCACGATGCGCATGGCCGTGTTCTCTCCCCCAGCTCGGCCACGATCCCTGGTGAAACATACACTGCGGTGCACATGGCCGTGCTCTCACCCCTGGCACCACCGCGACCCCTGCAAACAGATACGCTACGGTGCACATGGCCGTGCTCTCACTCCCGTCACACGGCCACGATCCCGAGGACAATTCAATTACGGTGCGCACACCTGTCTCCACCAAGGAGTCTTTAGACATACCTATAGGAATCCACGTCTGCACTACGTAGCCCTACCCCTCGACCCGCCACTTCACTTTTGCTGATCCGTCCCAGAGGCCCCGCAGGTCCCACAGGTCCCACGTGTAGTGCCGGATCTGAGTCCTTCCTCCGTTGTCGCCCCCTTCCTCTCCCGTTCCCCGTCTTCCCCTGGCCCTGCTGCCCGTTGCGCTCCTCGTGCTCCTGCTATTGCTGCTCCTCCTCCCTCCTCCTCGGCTTCCTCCTGCTCATCCCCCTCATCTTCCTCCTCCATTGCGCACAGCCCCCCTCCTACTAGGCTTGAGTCGGGCATGTCCCCCTACAGGGGGAATATTCTTGAGTACTTCCTCCAAAAATAGTATGGGGACTATTTCTTGAGTATGTTTGAGCATGTTTTGGATATGTTTTGAATATTTTTTCATTTTTCGTCAAAAACCCGCCTGCAAGAGGACATGCCCGACCCAATACTGGGCATGCCGCGATGTGGTCTTTTTGTGGGCCCTGGGTCTGCCAGGACACCCGTCGGCGGATTGAGAGCAGGCAGCGCAGCGGGAAGGGACACGTGGGTTGAGCAGAACGCAGTATCGTGCTTGATCGCATCTGGACTCAAGTCGGGCCTGTCCCTCTACAGGAGGAGTATTCAAAAATACGCCGGAGATGGTCTCGGGACAATGTTTTGATCATTTGGGAGCATGTTGGGTGTATGTTTAAGTTTCCGTCCCAAATCCGCCTGTAGGGGGGCATGCCCGACCTAAATATACAGTCGAGCATATGCTTACCGCCTCCAAACAAAAGCTGCGCCAGCGCTTCTCCACCGACTTGCAGGATAGTGGCCCAGTTTCTTGAGCACGTTCGCCCTTCCATCGTCAACAGCAGACACTGGCCCAGATTTGCTGTAAGAACCTTCCGCGAGGCCAGATTTAGCCCTGATGTGTTACATGATCTTCTGTTTGATCCTATTTTCGGCTGTACCCTCCTCCATCCTGCATGATTTAGTTAAACATGTTGATTACCATGTTGCTGGTCAGTCTTTGTTATCGTTTGAGACGTGTCTGTACGTTCCCAGTGCAGCGCTGGCCCCACTCCGAGATCTGTTTTTGGTGAGAGTCGCTCAGAATGGCGGCCCCTCTCCCCAGCACGGGCTGCAAGTCTGAATCCGATTCCTTCCACGTGGTTGTCGCCCACCTCCTTTCCCCTCCCCCGCCTTTCCCTGGCCATCTTGCTCTACTTCTGCTGTTGTCTCGCCTTATTATTATGTGCATTCTTAGTTTCCGAATTTTCCTGCTCATCCTCCTGCTTATCCACCACCCCGTCATCCAATGTGCACAGCCCTCCCTTACGTGTCATTTTAGGGACGCAGGTCCGCTAGGCCACCCGTCGGCAGATCAAGAACAAAACAGCGCAGTGGGAATGGATGGGTGGGAGGCGAAGGATGTCAGATATGTCGACACTAAGCCTAGCTTGTCCTGTTACAATCCCCCTCTGCTCTTCCCCCTCCCACTCCTCGTCGCATCATCCCCGGCTGGGCAACGAGACGCGTGATAGCCCCACAGGGCGGAGCATTTGGCAGCCGATCACGGATGCATGAGGTGACTGCGGTGGAGCACTGCAGCATCAGGGATGCCAACGTCTTGTGGCCACCAGACGACGAAGACGACGACGAGGCGACGAAGACGACGACGACGACGAAGACGACGACGACGAAGACGACGACGACGACGACGACGACGAAGACGACGACGACGACGAGGCGACGAAGACGACGACGACGACGACGACGACGACGATGACATCGAGAACGTGCCGACGAAGACGACGACGACGAGGCGAAAGGTGGCACCGCCTGGCCGCAGGGGCAGTGCGGGTACGCCGGGGCGCGGCGTGCACAGCCCCGAGCGGTGGGTGGTGCGCTTTGCGGCCCCCGAGGCCCGGCGCCTTGATCCCTGTGCAGTGCGGCCCCCCAGGGATCCCGAGCCTTTCCACAGGCACGAGCCGTTCCCCCCG